GCTAGGTAATTATTACAAACAGATAATATCCTTATGAAGAATATATTTTGAATTATTTGAACTCAAGAATCTGCAGTAATTATTAAAAAAGAAAAAAAAAAAAGGAAATAAAAAGAAAAAGACATGTACATCATTTAAGAAAAGCAGTGATTCTACAAGCTTGGGGAAAATGAAGAAAAGCATTAGTTTAGAAACTAGTGTTAGATCATACAGTGAATCCATGTGACTGAGATCTACCAAAGCTGTGTTAGGCAATTAATACAGATCAAGTAGCTTAGTCTCTCAAATATATGATAATTTATGAATGAGAAAATGAAAATAAAATGATCTCAGGAAACTTTTAGACATACAAGAAGTAGTAGTATTTCTCAACATATACAGGAAGCTAGAAGTGAGGGTAAAAGCCTCTTTTGACACAAAAGTCTTAGTAATGACTCGGTATTACTAGAAGAATAGAGTTGATTTGGTCCAATGGAAAAAGCTAACATTTTTAAATGTTATGTGGAAAGACCATTTCTAAGTAGCATCACTTCTAGGCTACATTAGCATGGAAAATACCATTTGTTTGGTACACGCACATCAGCGGTAAAATACTGAAAAACAAAGTCATATTATACTGCAAAAGCAGTAGGCAATTCTGATTTCTCAGAACTAGCTCCTTAATTCTATCCCTAAGACAGGTTATAGAGAGCCTTTTCCTCCTTATGATTCATGTAGCAAGACCACACTGGTATTGGCATCATACAGCCTTTCATAACTTAGGGATTTGTTTATAAAAATTAATTCTCTAACCTTATCAAGAAACAATGCAATATATTGCAAAACACAAACAATCAGCAATGTTGTGTACACATCAAGAAGCTGACTTTTAACAGGGAAGAAAGATGGCACAAAAAGACCCTGAAAAGAAACAGCTTAAGAGTCAACTGCGACAGTTAGAAGTACAAAGTCTGTATGCAAAATTAGTATCTACTAGTTCATTTCAGAGAAGAAATATTCTTCTAAGAATTTAACATGCTCATTGTGGAAAAAAAATAGAATATTATTGACATTTTAGAATCTATTCTAGTTAATTGATATAATTTTGTTCATCCAGATTGCATGGAAGATATTCATCTTTTTGAGAAAGATCAAAGTCCTGTGACTACAAACCCACTCAAATGAAAAAGAAGGAAGAAGAAAGGAGTTGTTCTGACTGGAAAACCAATGCATTTTGTACAAGAAAATCTTGAGGTTATATAATCACCTGCCAACACTGTAAATGCCTACTAATGAAGTCATGCAGTAACATTTCATTTTGCTCCCAGAGGGGAAAAAAGAAAAAGAATCTTTTAATTGGAAATGACTTAAGCTTGCTAGAGTTATCACAATGCACATACACTCACTAACTCAACCACCTTGTCTCACTGCAATACACTGAGACAAATAGCAAATTACACCATTTCATATCAGAAAGTTTGCCTAAAATTCTCTTTGTCGCTTAAAAAGGAATTCATAAAAATACATATGTTTATTTCTCTTTATATGATTCTTTTAGGGTATGGAGCTAACTACTGTATTCCTTAGCTCATTTTGAAAGAAGAGGTACTTTGGGAGATCCCAATCAGAAAACAAATCGAAACCCCTAATTTTCAAGTGTCTAATCTTGCAGTTCAACTCTGTATTTTTAATGCAGATTTTCTATGTAATTTACTAAAGGATTTTTTTCATAAAGAAGAAAGTACAACATTTTGGTGTACAAATATAACAAACTCCCAGATCAGGTGCCATGCTTAGGATTTAAATTCCAATGTTTCTGCACAGCTGGAACTACAAGACTAACCATACCAACTGGAAGAAGGGACACGAGTCTGTCACCCTAGAAGGCAGGCCCTTACTATTTTGCTGAAGCTCACATCTCCGTCTTGTCTTAGAAAAGCAAATGAAGATTTTACTTCAGACTATAACCTCGAAGAAAAATTGATAAGGCAACATCTATCTGACCTTCTCCACTCTTTCACATACAATGGCTCCAATTCCCCCAGTCTGGAATATGACGCGTTAGTTATCCTTCTAAAGTGTTAACAAACTTTTCTTTGCAGTAAACGAAGAAATAAGTGGCAATTTGAAAAAAAAATATGGTGCTCAGTTGACTCATTATTCTCATCAAGAAAACACCACAATTTCAGAAGTATCTTCATCTAAATCAAAGTAGACAAAGAACACGTAGAAAACCATAAAAGAGCTCTGTAGAAACCAAATACCTAGTCTCTTGTACAAGCTGTTTGACAAGAGTGGCAAAAAAAATAAAACAAACAAACAAATAAAATCATGGTGATTCATTCTGATATAGCCCTGTATAGAACTGAACATATTTCTGGAGTAATCTGCGAGCTCGTAAGTATTGGATGACAGTCCCTCCAGATATTGCTGAAGGTTTTCTGGCATATTAATCAAATCTATGAGCCATAGAAGCCAGAAGCTATGGTAGGCAAGTTCTTTGTGTCATGTTGATGTATAGTGTTATCATCTCAGTTTTATTCAAGGCAGCTCCAACATCTGATATTCCCAGAATCCCGTCCACTGCAGTCCTGCACTTATATCTCACAAAAATTAGTGAAAGGCAAGTTTCCGATGACAATTACTTCTTCATAAATTACTTCAGGGTTAGAAAATCTGCAAGGTTCATCCAAGAATTCCTCCAAGAAAGTCCAGGAAAAACTAAAAGGTAGAAATCATCTTATATAATAATATCAGCTAAGTTTGAAGCACCTGAGTCTAGTCTTTATGACCAGTGGAGAGAGTTCTGGCACTTCCAGATGGTCATTCATTTAATTCTAAATAATTCTTCTATCCTCCATCATCCTCTGGAAATGCCCATTTGTCTACACTGACTCTGAATGAAGTTTGGGGTCATTCTCCTAAATCTTAGAAAATGAATACTCAGGTAGCTCAAATTAGGCAAAATCCCCCTAGATCTAAAAACATTACTAATCTCAATTTAAATACAAAATATTATTACTTTTTAATCAACTCTTGCTTTTTCTGAATTAGGACCATAGTGTATAGTAACTTTTTTTGCCATCTTCCTACAGAACATAAATCTCATTTCACTATTTCCTAAGCTTTTTGTCCATTAATAATAGAAACTGTTTGACTGATTTCAGAAAGCACGAGTTCCAGATTTATAGCTGATACCTAAAGTCTGAACAATATGTCCTGCCTAATTATAACAATTTTGAGACTGATCACATTACTAAACGTTGCATAAATCATTCCCTCAGTTTTGGTTGGTTTTTTTTGGTTTGGTTTGGCTTTTTGTTGTGGTGTTTTTTTTTTTTTTTTTGGTTTGGTTTGTTTGTTGTTTTGTTTGCTTGTTTGTTTGTATGTTTTTTTTTAAATAGGAAAGATTTACATAGCAATTAGCAATTTGACTTGTTGCAAAACTGTTTTTTCTTTTCTGTAGGGCTTAAGATTGTAATTTGTAGTAACTGTCCAGCAAATACCAAGTAACTCAATTAGAAATAACAGGGTGAGTCACAGTGCCCCAAATCTCCAGGTCAATCAATAAGTGACCAAGGTAGAAGCTGTTCCTACCACACAGCTTGAACACTGGGTACAGCTGCCCACTCTGTGATGTTTCTGTGCACAGGGTACAATGAACTCTGGAAGGAATGTGTGTCACAGGTGCAGAGGAATGATACAGCACCCTTATTAAAATATTTCAACCAAGCCATAACAGCAGCCCTGTAGTATATCGATCATCAACAAGTATATATAGCACTTGCTAGAGATAGAGAGCTCCAAAATCCCCCTCTGTGCACTGGGGTAAAAGGAAAAAAGTGGTAAGCAACTTGCATTACAGGAGGCCAGGGCAACATGACAAAGCTATGGCAGTACAAAGTCTGCAGTAGCAGAACACACAAGCATGCAGACAAGCTCAAAGAACAAGCAATCAGTCAGCTTAACATCACAGTGAAGGTAACATCAAGGTTAACAATATTTCTCAAATACACAGAATAAATTAAATCTCAATTCTAACCAAAAGAGAGAGACAAGAGTTGACAGGAAGATAAAAATTCTGCTCAAGTAATTAAGGATATAGAACAGTTGTCATACACTGTATTACAATTGTAATAAAACAAAAAGGTCACCATAAAGAAGTTCATAGCATTATAATTACAGTGTAGGCACAATATTAAATAAACTTATTTTGTTAGAGAAAACAGACCTTTAAATTAATTTCTGCTTTAGTCTCTGAGTAACAACAGGATGACTCACACTTAAAAAGACCAGCCAAGTAAAGAGCTATAGACAGTCCAACATTTTGAACAGGTACATTGTGATGAAGGGTAGCAGAATTGCTTCATACTAAGAATGCTCTCCCTATTAGAAAACAGTTTTTCAGTTACTCCAATTTTCCATGCTGAGTGTCCAAATTAGATTTCCAAGGGAATACTTTAATCTTTACATTTCAGAAACACTTGTTTCTGAAAGTAAGTTTTATTACGCTAAAAAAAATTACTATGGCCACCTCTTTGAGAGTAACAATTTACATCCCTACAAAAACTCACTCTCAAGCTGACTTAAACTGCATGTATTAATATTTAAATTCCCTCTCCCCATCTATCCATGCTCCAATCACAACTGTGTTAAATGTCTGGGTTCTACAAAAAAAAAAAATCTTCCACTTCCAGACTTTACTGGGGCATGATTCATAGAAAGATGCGTTCTGCCTATCTTGGCAGGGGGGAAACGGGAGGGAAGCAAGACTAATTAAGTTTATCATTAGTTATGATTATGTTCTTAACATTTCTTTCCTATGATGTGTATGTGGATATTTAAAGTTGCATACTCTACTGAATTTACAATAAACCTGAATTTTCTGTAGGCTCAATTTAAAGCTTGTTCAGTACGATATCTGTAACCACCATGGCCCCCCCTCCACCCCACCCCACCCCACTTCCCCCAGCATAATTTTTAATATTGTACAAAAAGAAAAAAAAAAACTCTGGACTTACTCGGAAATAGTCACTGCAGGCTGCCAGGACTGCTTTATGTGCATGGAATTTCTGCTCTTCAGCAATAAGGGTGATATCGCAAAGTATGCCATCATTTCTTTGTTGATTCAGAGCTGCCAGGACAGCATCGTTATGGGAGCTAGACTGACAAAGCCTCTGACCTGTCAGCATTTCCTGAACGCTGAGAGGAGACAGAGGGAAGATTTTGTCAAAAAAAATTCAGTCACAAATATAGAACTTCTTCTAAAACAAGATTGTTTGATAATTCTTGGAAAGAAAGAAAAGTCACGAACACTGCCAGGCAAAAACCTTTATGTGGTATAGACATCCCAAGAAAAGCTCAGTATAATGAAGTATTATGAATCCTTATTGAATACTCAGATTTTAAAACCTCAACTGTTCTGATTTTCATTTGCTGCACTGGATGTCAGCTGGACTCACAGGATTAATTCAGCATAATTTTAGAATTAAGTGAGAAGAATAAAGGGCTTAGGTCAATGGAGTGACAGAAAACTTTAAGTGGCTCAAGCTGATGCATTAGTGGAAAGGAGCGCATATGTATGTATGTACATAACTAGTCCTGCTAAAAAGAATGAAGACTCATGGTCTCAGGTGTCCTGCTTATGTCTGATACTGCATTACTGATTGTTTTCAGATCACTTCAGGTCATTCACATTTATGAAGTGTTGTGGGTTTGTTTGCTTGTTTGTTTTGTATTTGGGGGGAGGATGCTTGCTTGTTTTTAAAATGCTGAGGCCTTCCAGCACCTCTGAGTATCTCCTTGTATGAATACAAGATTTCCATGTCATCAGCCTAAGATTGTCTGATTGCAGCTTCCTTTTCTAGAGCAGAAGGAAGAGACAATATAACTGCTGATGTGAACAGAAACAAATCAAATCTGCAAATCCTCTTTGGCACAAAACAATGCAGTGTATTTGAAATCTGTGCAACTGCCAATTTATATTGCCCAAGAATCTAGGTTTTTTTATAGAAGATGAGTTTACAGTCATTCCTGAGTAAATCAGAAAGTGAAGGTATAAACTTTTTTTTTTTTTTGATTAAGGAGTAAATAAGTTATCATTTTTCCACCACAGTCATGTAATTCACTCGATACACATGTTATGCAGCAGCTGTGTGGCTGCTATATACTCCTTTCCCAATCAACACACACACTCTCTGTACTGCCTATCCCACTTCTGCACCTTGGGCATCTATAAACTAATGCAGACCTGATCTAATGCCAACTGTTTGCTCTAATTTAATCTATCTTTTAAAACGACAAGTACTAAGACATTACTTAAGAAGGATGGCCAAAGCAGAGTTACACAGGAATAACCTGCATCTGAACTGTTGACTGATGCTTTGGTAAATATCATCTTAAATGTGAATGACTTGATACATACTACCAAGTACTATACCTCAGGCACCTCTCTGATGGCATCTTTCAATTTTGCTCTTCTGAATACCAAAGCTTATACTCCTGTAGAGAAAGCAGCATACATCGCAGCTAGAAAGAGATAAAGGAGAGGAACATTAAAATTCAAAGCATACACAGACTCAACCTTAAAGATCAATACTTTCAGAATGTGTAATTCAAAAGCAACTTTCTTCAATTCTTCTATTGCAGAAAGGCATACCATGCAGATTAAGTGAACATGAAATTTTATTGGCTAGATTGAGTATAGCCTGATGGTGGCCTTTTCTCTAGTCTTTCCTAAAAATTCACACCCTACCATCTGAACTACCATCTGAACTGCCCTTGAGGCACGTCTCCTTTCTGCAACTCAGGAACACACATTATGTCAGAAAGGTGGAAGAGTGGCAAGGGAAGTATCTTCCCCAAAATCCCTCGGTTTGAAGAGCAGGCCAGAAGCATCTCTTGGTATTTGCTTACTTTAACTTTAACATACAGCTCTAAAAACCTTGCATCTCACAGCGTAATCTCACAGGCCTGTCTAGGGTCTAAGAGGTTTGCAGGTTTGCCATACACCTAAATTCATGCTTTGACTATATTAATTTTTCCTAAAGACAAAATTTGGTGGGGGAGGTGGGAGAGGTTTACTGTATACTCCAAAAAGCAGCTCTCACTTTGCCCAGAGAAACATTCTCGACTAACTAATCAATGCTATGACTGAGTACCTCTGTCAACCTGGATATTAAAAAAACCTTCTGGTAAATAAAAAGCGTACAATATATACAAGAAGTATGATCAAATTTATAAACTCTACAGCTTTTTTAAAAAGGTAAAATATTAGTGACCATATAAATTAACCTATGCTGCTTAATGAGTACTCAAAGTTGCTTTTGTAACAAAAAGGATAAAAGATGTTGTAACAGATAATTATTCTCCAAAGTCAACAAAACATTACAGATCTCACACAGTATCTAAATAAGGTAACAGAACTTTTCTACATCTGCTGGTTGCCAGTGTGCCCCTGTAAAAGTAGTAAATCTTCAATACAAGGGGTTTTTTTCCTCACTTTTCAACTAAAACAATGCCCTAATTCCAGGTGCTATTCAGAGACTTCTACTGAGATCAATATTGAAACACCACAAACACTCTTTTGTAGTGTCACTAGTTAAACAAAGCATACAAATAATCCAGTTCTTTGTTTATATTAATTCGTTCTTAATTTTGCCCTTTAATCTTACATTGGCCAGCAGCTTTACTTTGAAAGCCACTACACTAATTTCAGGGAGACTGTGCAATGGATATGTGAAGGTAGAATTAAAACCTTAATCCTTCCTCAGATAACAAACAAACAACCTGCGAGAAGGGACCATTAATCCTTTTCCTATTCTCCTGACATACAATTCTTCATTCTGCAAACAAAACTATAGTTCCTACTTGCCAGAGAGGCACAGTGACATCTACCTTTCTGCAAGCTCTGTCACCTGCACCACAGCAGTGGAAGGACCAAATAGAACCATACAGGAGTTTTGAATTTTGGAGGCTGATAACTTTTTTCAGCTGGATTTTCTTGAAAACAATAGAAAGAGCTCTCTTAAGAAATTCTTGTAGATCTCAAGTCCTTACTCCAAACCACAGGAGTAGCAGCCACTCAGTTCAGATACAATTGTGTGCTTAGCTAGCTGAAATGTAGTTTTCCTCTATCTTATTCTCAAAACCAGCAACTTCTAACACTTCAGCCTGGGACAGGCACCTGGCATGGAAAACTGCATCCTGAACAGATGAAGTGTCCAATGGAATAAGTTTTTGCCATACAGCCCTGTTTTCAATTTGTTAACTGGTGTAACAGCCAGCACAGCCAACACATGACATTTCAACTTAATATATTAGGTATAAAAGAAAAAATAGAGTTCAGTAGAACAGTCAAAACAAAGGCGCGTGACTTTGGCTGCTTATTTAAACGGCATGTGGATTGGCTAATGTAACTCAGTGACAATGAAGTATTACAGTTAAGCAAAATTTAGAGAATGAAAATGTTTTCATATTTTTATCCCTTTTCCCAAAAGGCTATAATGATGAGCAAGGGGGTGAGGTCATTGAGAATTTACGCCGGTGATTCGGCTGGATGCTCAGCAAACTGTTATGCAGCACTACCCAATGATGGTTTCACAACACCTCACTCTCAACATCAACTCTGTTTCTAGTTATATTAAGACAATTCACTTTATCCTTCAAGAGACTGGAAAACACAGCATATTAAGTTAGTGGTCCAGGTGCTGGCAACTAAAAAACATTTCCTGATCAACGTACCTGCTATTGTATACACCCAGATGTGACCTATGCAACATTTCAGTAGTTGAAACTGAAGTTCAAACTTTGCATTCATCAGTACCAAAAGGAGGGACTCAGCAGTTAACTTGACTGGTACAGTCAAAAGTTTTAACTAGGTCCTTAAGTGACCTAAGTCCTACACCAGAACTGCTAATACAGAAATAATATCCATAACTATTACGCCACTACAATATCCATACAAATGCCAGCATTACGTATACTAGCACAAAGAATTCTAGAGCAAAAATTCCTTACTCCACCACAGTTGTGAATAAGGACATTCAAATCAAAGGTTTAAACTGCTGTTTGGACAGATAGTGGCCAGAAGCAACTCACTTCAGACATGCAGAATTCCTTGTACTATAAACCAAGGTTTTACGAACAGAAAACAGGAATATTACCTTAAGGAGATGCCTGAACATTCAGCTAAAACATATGAGAACATTTACAATAATCAAGTCTCTGCAGATATACCTATCAGACACTCTGATGAAATATAATACGCAGCATATAAAATATATATGTATACAAAACACCTGCATAAGAAAAAAGAACATAGCTTATGGGGTTTTAGCCACTGTCCAAGTCTAAAGCAATCCACCTTGATGTCATGTCTGAACAAAGTTACTTTGTTCAGTCTCAGGGGATCAGAACTTAACACTTTCTGAATAATGAAAGTAAAAAGCCATTCTTCTCCTAGGAACTCAAGTTTCAGGATAGTAAAAATCTTCCAGATGCTTTCCAACAGCTTGACAGCATATTCAAGGAGGCTTTCATCAAGGTTTGCAAAAGATGTCTCGGATGCACTGCCTTGTTTTTTCCACGTTGTTGGACTTGTTTCCATGACACTCTGCAATCAGATCCAGAGGCACCCACAAAACACGGGCCTAACTGGGCCCTTGAGTGCACACCGGCTTCCAAGGACTTTATTTGTGTCCCTCTCATGAACCAGTCAGCACTACCAAAAATACAGTTCAATAAACTGCTAAGCTTCTCAATCAAACCACTCCAAATTTCGGCAGGCCCCTCTCCTTCCTACTCAGCACGGCACTGTTGAAACAAGCGTTCTTGTCATGATAAACTCTCCTGAAAGCACTAGAGTCCAATTCACATTTTATAAAACATAAGTAGGAAACTTTCTTTGTCCTCTCCAACCTGTGATTTTTTTTTTAAGTCAAGAAATGTTCAACAGTCCTGATATTGATAGCTGCAGCTAGGAATTCCTACCTACCAGACTGGTAGGTTAGAAATTCAAGCTATCTGTGACCTTTTCAAGAGGTCCAAATTCTCTGGCCCACAAAAAAAAAAAAAAAAAAAAAAAAACACAAAGGAAAAAAAAAAAAAAAAACACAAAAAACAAACCACAAGTAGTAGTGAAAGCAAACAGGAAAGGGGCCAAGACCTGGAAGGAAAAGTGTTCCTTCTAAAATAACTAAGGCATGTGCTTCAAAGAATTAACAAAATATCCAACTAGTCCCATACTGAGTTCAATGTTCTGCGCCCAGACAAATCAACCTTTCCTAAATTTTGCCATATGACCTTTCCCTTCCTAAATGCCAGTGCAGCAGGCCTCACTTGTTATTTTTAAATCTACATCACATATACAATATGTGATAGTATAAGAGTGTGTAAATCATTTAATCAATACTGCACTGATTTTGTTTAGCAATACAGAATTACTTAATGCATCTCAAAAAATGTAATAATTGGAAATTCTGATATTTATTCTTACTAACAAAGAAAAAAAAAAAAAAAAAAAAAAAAAGAGGCATTTCCATCTGTTGCATGGATGTGCTGTGCCTGGATAGTTTCAAAATCCAATCCTCTGTACCAAGAGCTTTTTTTCTGTTTCAGATAGCTGGGTCCATATTTATGTAAACTGTCATTGATACATAAGGAAACTCTTTATGTTAGAATGTTTAAGATATACTATTGTCTTTCTATTTAACTACTTTAAGTAATTAAATTAGTTTAAAAGATTAGCCTATAAAGTTAAGGATAAGACTCTAAGTTTAAACAGAAAACTTTAATTCCACCTAAATCCTTCTGTTCTAGTGAAATACTCCATTATGCTGGAGATTAACAAGAAAAATCTAGGCCAAACAAAATACTCACTAGGATCTTAGGTTTGAGATACACGCTAAACTCGCCAGAAAACAATTTTTGCATGTTATTTGTTTGAGACATTCACTTCTTACAACTTTACAATGAAGATCACTAACCACTCATCCTATTATATTTACAACTAATTTTTATTTTCTTATTGCTTAATTAGTTCGTTCACATCCTAGAAAAGTACAAAAATTTTTATTTTATAAACAACAGAAAAATAATAGTAATGATCCACTTAGTGCTGAAAGAATATAACAATAATTTGGTGAGAAACGGAGGGGTACCAGTAGTTTTCCATGAAAACACAGTATATCTAGGGATTTCAAAGATAAGCAGTTCGAAAGAAATCGCACTGTCCTGGCAAACAATTATGTCCAACTAATACAAACAGTGTTCTAAAGTAGCCTCAGGAAATGTCAGTCTTTCTATACATTTTTTGTCTTAGTCTTATGATGCAGCAGAGAAAAAAGAAAGATTTTTTTACTCTCTAAGGAAATCTTGGAGCAGTGTGCCACTCTGCTGCATCCATCACACATTGCCAGGGTATGCTGCTTCTCTAATCTAAATTAGCAGTGTAGTTCAAGAAATATTTTTTCAAAGATTATTAAAAAATAGTATTTCAGCAAGCAGTATTTCTTCCCTTAATTTAGTTT